AACTGACTCAGCTCGACACGTATTTTGAATGGTGATTTCGGGCTGTATTTGCTGAGTTTCGGCTAGGAAACAAGCTGTCGTTTTTGCTTGGTTTTAGAGCTTAATTTTGTGTACGTTTTTTAAGCTGATTTTCGCTGCATATTGGGCAGTATTTTCAGCATACGTTTTTTCATGGTATTTTGTGAGAGTAAAGTTTCAGTATTTTTTGGGCTGTTTTAGTGGAGGTTTGGCTTTAGGTGTTCTATGGCTGTCTCGGTGGGGTTTGGAGCAGTATTTTTTGGAGAAGAAAGGATGTTGCCCTTTTTTGTGTGTAACTATGCTTCCCCCCTTTATTTTCTTGTGTTCTTCCTTTTTATAAAGAAGAATGAGGGTGGTTATATGGAGATGTGGGTGTGAATGTGTGATCATGGATAGAAGACGTAAGTGAAGTGGGGAAAATGAAGAAGTTAATTATCTGATGGGTTTGGAAAGAGGGGATCATGGGGTGATGGAGGGAAGAGATTAGAATAAAATTTGCACACTATCCTAAAATAAAGCAACGAAACTGTACAAGAATCCTAGATGGATTGAATATTTATTTTTATTTTTGAAAGTTACATTTGTTCTCTAACTCTAAATGTCACGTGAATTCTTGTTGCTTGCTCTTTTTTTTTTCTTTTATAAATAAAAAAAATTTAATGGAACTATTAAGAAAAAATATTAATGGAACTATATATATCCTTTGAATATTACTAAAAAAATACCATAATTTATTAAAATTATAGTGAAAAGAAATCATATATTATTTGTAAATTTTCTTTTTCTTATTACATATAGAAATAAAACATGTATTTTAAGAATGTTAATATTTTTGTATTTTTTTTTTAATTTTGTTAAATAAAACCTATTAAGAGTAAGATAACATTTAAAATATTAAGATTAGACCTAAAAAAAATATTTACACTAAAATAATATAGGATTAGGGGTGTGGTCAAAAATTAGGTGTTCACAAGAAAGGTAAAACTTCAAACTCTAAGGGCTGATTTTGAAGTTTTAAAAATGAAAGAATCCGAATGCATTTCGGATTATTGTTCAAAAGTGAAGGCTGTTGTGAATCAATTAAGAAGATACGGGGAGGACATAGAAGATGTCCGTTTGGTAGAAAAGATCCTTCGCACTTACCACCTAAATTTGATTTTGTGGTGTGTGCTATTGAGGAGTCTAAAGATTTAGACTCTATGATGGTGGAGCAATTGGAGGGATCTTTACAGGCCCACGAAGAAAAGATCAAAAGGAGACAAGAAGTATCATTAGAGCAACTTCTTAAAACTCAGGCATCCTTTAAGGATTATGGAGGTGAAAAGAACTATCGAGGAAATGGACGAGGACAAGGTCGTGGTTGTCATGGAAGAGGAAGAAGTAATGGTAACGACTTTAACAATGAAGTTAAAATCCACCATACATTCAGAGGTCGTGGTAGTGAACATAGAGACGGAAGAAGATGCGGCTACTATCAAGAAAATAATGGATAAAGGTATGACAAATCAAAAATTGAATGTTATAATTGTCATAAATTTGGCCATTACTCTTGGGAATGTCATAGCAATGTTGAAGAGAAAGCCAACCTTGTTGACGACAAGAAAGAAGAAAATGAGTCAACATTATTGCTGACACTCAAAGAAGAAGACCGGGATGATTGTAGCTCGTGGTATTTGGACAATGGAGCAAGCAATCATATGTGTGGATGCAAAGAGAAGTTTGTGGAGATCAATAAAACGGTAAGAGGTAATGTGTCCTTTGGAGATACCTCAAAAATTCAAATCGAAGGGATAGTTACTATTCAGATCTCCTGTAAAGATGGTAGTCACAAGATAATTCAAGATGTTTATTATGTGCCAAAATTAAAAAGTAATATTTTGAGTTTGGGACAATTTCTTGAAAAGGAATATGACATCCACATGAAAAATATGCATCTTTGGCTTAGAGATTCAAGTGGAACTTTTAATTGCTAACGTGCATATGGCAAAGAATAGATTATTTTCTCTGAATCTCAAGACAATTGATGCAAAGTGTTTGAAGGCTAATGTGCAAGATGAATCATGGTGTTGGCACATGCGATTTGGGCACTTTGAATTTTGAAGCGCTCAAATCAATGGAAGAAAAGAACATGGTACATGGGATACCATCAATCAACCATCCAAATCAATTGTGTGAAGCTTGTCTTCTTGAAAAACATGCAAGGAGGAGTTTTCCAAAGGAGGCCATGTCAAGATCAACCAAGCCGCTCCAGCTTGTTCACATTGATGTGTGTGGACCAATCAATCCACCTTCCTTTGATAGAAAATTTTGGGCCGAAGCTGTTTCTTGTGCAGTTTATTTGAACAACAGGTCTTCAACAAGAAATGTTAGAGATCAAACCCCTCAAGAAGCATGGAATGGAAGAAAATCAAGTGTCAAGCACTTGAGCATCTTTGGGAGCATAGCCTATGCTCATGTGCCACATCAAGAGAGAGCGAAGCTTGACGATCGAAGTGTCAAGCATGTGTTTGTTGGCTATGATACGAGTTTAAAAGGCTACAAGTTATACAACCCAAGCAGCGGCAAGATGGTGGTAAGTCGCGATATGGAATTTGATGAAGAATTGGCATGGAACTGGAAAGCTCAGGAAGAACCTTCATATGATTTTCTTCCATACTTTGGTGATGAAGAAGAACCAGAGACCGTGGAACCTATGCAGGATACAACTCCACCTCTTTCTCCAACCATTATTGCATCTACCTCTTCTCAAGAAAGTCCAAATGAACAGCCGCAAAGGACAAGGAGTATTCAAGAGCTCTATGAGGACACAAAAGTTACTAATTTTGATTTTTTATGTTGTCTCTTTGCTGATAGTGAACCAATGCACTTTGATGAAGTTGCTACAGACAAAAGGTGGAGACAGGCAACAGAGGAGGAGATCGAGTCAACAGAGAAGAATAACACTTGGGAGTTAACAACTCTTCCCAAGGGTGATCGAGCAATTGAAGTAGAATCGATATACAAGACAAAGAAGAATGCTGATGGAGAAGTGGAGAGATACAAAGCACGACTTGTGGCTAAAGGCTACAAGCAAAGGCAATGTGTTGCCAAGAAGAAACTAGAGCTCAAATATATGAAGTCTCATGATCAAGTTGCGGATATCTTTATAAAGCCTCTTAAATTTGAAGATTTTCGGAGGCTGAGATCAAGTTTTGGAATGAAAAAAAAATCAAAATTAATAGCCCGTTTGGCCAAGCTGCAAAAATCAGCTTATTTTGAGAAGTGCTTTTTTTCAAAAGTGCTTTTCTCAAAAGTACTTTTGGTGAGAAGCAATTTGTGTTTGGCTAATTAGTTTGAAAAGCACTTCTGAGCAGCAATTAGTGTTTGGCCAAGCTTTAAAAAAATGCTTCTAAGTGTATTTTTCTCAAAAGTGCTTCTCAAAAAAGTGCTTTTGGAGAGAAGCTATTTTTTCTGCTTCTCCAAAACTGCTTCTGCTTCTCCTCAAAAGCACTTTTTTCCTTCCAAAAGCTTGGCCAAACACCTCAATTTTTGGCAAAAAAAAAAAATTATATTTTTGGCCAAAAAGAAGCTTGGTCAAACAGGCTATAAGGGAGAGATTTGTGGGGTCACTAAATAAAAGAAATAAAATAGGAAGAAAACTGTGATTGGAGGAAATAAGAGGCAATTGTAGGGGGAAACAACAAATTGGTTTACAAATTGTAAAACCAATTTCCTAGTTGATTTCTGGTTGTGACTAGTATATGGAAATTGCAGATTTGCAAGTTGGAGAAACCAATCTTCTGATTGGTTGTAGAGTGCGGCAACTTTTCCTATAAATTGAAGCGTTTCGTTCAGTTTCAAATACATCAAAACGAGAGAAGCAGAAAGCAGTGAGAGTATCCACAGATTGTTGTCTGTGAGATAAGTAGTGAGTGGTAGTAATATTATAGTGAGGTGTTTAAAATAAAGAGTGTTATTTCTTTCGAAGTTGTAGTAGTCTTTTGACACTACTAAGTTGTAATATTATAGTGGTAATATTGCTCCGCTCGAGTATTGTATTTTATCCCGTTAAAATATTTGGTGTCGTTACTCTCTTGTGTTATTATTATTTGTCGTGGATATTATTCCTGGGTGGGAATATTATTTTTTCCCAACAAAACATATATTCAAGCAATTTGATTAACTAATTCAGACAAAATTCTACAAGTAACAGAGTGAAGAACATTTCAGTGGCTCAAAGTAAGCGTCTGAAGAGCCCGAAAGAACTAGTTGGATTATCCCAATTCCAAATGAAGTGAATGGAAAAGGGAAAACAATTACTAAAAGGTACTCAAACTAATTGAAACTGGTCAACCAGAAAGGCTTATAGTTTAAGATGATATCAGCACGAGTACACAGTAGTTTCACACTGCTCTCTATTCCCTTACCCTTCCCAGACCCCCATGTTTAATGGAAATACTTTTTGAAAAAGAAAATTAAACAGGTTAATTATAGATTAGATTCGAGTACTGAATTGCAGCAATATCATAATATGTTCGTTCTTTCCTTTCAGGTCCTCAAAACTCAAAACTCATACTTATGACAGCAAAGTAAGAAAAAAAAGCTTTTCAGTTACTATTTACATTAGAAAAGCAGGATATGGAAATGGAAGATCAGCTTTGTACCTTGAAATCCTGAGGACAATTAGCCTCTTCATAAGCTTTGCCAGCTCTTGATTCTGGAATTTTCAGGCGACCTAGTGGGCAACGAGGATCATCTTCCCCTATAATATTTGGGAATGTAGACTTATCCTTTAGACAGTAAGAAGACAAATGCACGTGTATTTTGACAATTGATGGGTAATAGAAATGACGAATTCTTTTTTTAGTTATTTGAGATACATAGATTATTATACCGTTTAAAATAGAACTGGCGTGGTGCAATAATTGGAACTGTGTATGGTGCATCAAATTGAGAGGTTAAACCTGGGGCAATCCTGTTCCAGACCTGGTGAGATACACTAATAAACATCAGATAGTTCCATGAAATATAACATTTGAGAAGCACACAAGCTTCTAATGCTGGACTATAGAGTTTAACAATGTACGATATTCAACTTATAAACAAAATCGACAAGAAGCATCACAGAATGATGTTTTAGACTATAAACGTACATAAATCTTAAGAATGAAACTTTTACTAGCCAATAGAGTGCGTCAAGTCTTTCGACAGTCTTCTCCCACGATGGTAGTTTAGTAACCCAAGAAAAGGTTGATCATAGATAATTGTCCTGCTAGTATAACCTTGGGGGACATGGTGGGGAGAGAAGTGAAGATGGAAAACTGCAGACTCAAACAAGACATGAAAGATGGATCATGACATATTCCTGGATGACCTACAAAGATTTCTGTAGAGATTTTGAAAGATTAACGTCCAAACTCATAAGAGTATGCTGGTCTTCCGCTCTAATCACTACAAATTAACGAGCATTTCATCTCAACAGTAGTCTAAGGCAAGAGGCCTCTGATGCCAAGCGTTGATTATATATCAACTGAAGCAACATCATTCAATCTTGGGACTTGAAAGCAAGAATGAATTTGAAGGGATCTCTAAATTGTGGTCAACTGGGTCTCACTCAAATCTCTGTAACAATGAACAAGGAAAGCAATGATGAATCTGAGGGGATTTCTAATGGTGGTCAAGTGGGTTTCACTCAAATCTCTGTAACAATGAGCAATGAATGATTGTGATCTCTGACTAATTTTTGGTCAGAATATCCACAGTAATGTATGTTTTTGATTCTTCGGTCGAAATAAGGGAAAGGTCAATTCAGTTCTCCATTGGTACGCAACTCTCTGAGCTGGAAGATCATTTTGAGATCTTCGTAGCTCATATATCACTGGAGGAAACTTTGCACAGGGTTCTATTACCATTAAGGGTGGCTCTGCAATTTCTCATGGGCACAGGCCTCTCAATACTAAAATTGGCGGTCATAATAATCAAATAATTGATAAAATTGAGAAAAAGACCTTTTATATCTTACAATACATCAAATCCAGAATAGCCCGAACTATATGGCGGGTCTCACTTTTTTCTGCCTAATCTAGAGCTGCTTAGTTACCCCATGTTGCTTCTTGCTTTAGCAGATTCAATGATTATTTCTTCTCTTACTGAATCTGCAACTAAAATAGTTATGAATATTTATGATGCCGTCAGAAAGAGAATACCTGGAGGAAAGAGTTTTTCTATTTTAAACTCTTGACAGAGATGATTAACTGTACAAGGCTGCAACCACTGCATATATCTCAGGTTTGCTCCAATAAAATTTCCTTCACCTATCTAGAATGCCACATACCGCCACCCTCCCCCACAAATTTGATCGGTAAGGTACATATCCCATCCTATACCTTATTTTAGTGCATCACAATATATAGCAAAGGGTCCATCGAACCTCCCATCACATGAATTCCACTTCTTAAATAATCTTGGGGAGCGGGAAGACCATAGTATTTGAATTACTCACTATGCATGAATGAAAAAAGAAATTACACACGATAGTCATAAACCTGACCTTCTGAACTACTTCTTTATCAATTGTACTCTTGTCTAAATCGGCACGTGCTTCTGAAAACAAAACAAGCGAAACGGCTAAGCTAAGAACCATATATGCAGCATTAAAGTAACAGGTAACAAACTAGCGAGACAGATGTGCTAGGAACCATATAGACAGCAGTAAAGCAACTGATCCAACTAATAAGGTTTTTGGAGCCGTGTTCACCTTCAAAGCCTTGATACTGTTAACTCTTGCTTGTCACTTATCATGCTCAATGGCCCATCGAAAACCCTACAACCTTGTTTCAATTTCTCATCATAATCTCATATCAATTAAACTCTATCGTTGATCCTATTATACTTAACAAGAGGTACCTGAACACCAATTATGGGGACAACCACAGAATAGCGAGTGTCAACAAATGCAGCAAACCAAGCATGCATACCTGCATGGCAGAATGTATTTGAACTTGATGTTTATACTGTTATGTAACGCTCCTAATTTACTGGTTAAACCACCAAGAGATTCGCCAGTGATTCCTATCTTTGATGGGTCAACATCTTCCCTCTCAGTAAGATAATCTGCCAGTTTTATCAAGTCCCAAACCTTCAAAACTCAGCAAAAGATATGCTCAGAGCTCCAAATCAACTAATAATCATGCGGTACAAGAATAATACCAAATTTCATCAAGCTTTCTCAAATGGTAGAATCAGGTTCGTTGTTTCAATAATTACCATATCAAATATGAACGGCTTCGTATCGCGATTTTTCCATGATGACACTAGGGCCTGTACTACAGAAAGAAGAAGTTAGCAAGATCAAGTCAACCACGTACAGTGGTATTCAAGCACAATTGGTTAGACTCATTCTCAGTAAAAAAACCACTGGTAAGAGAGTATTCTTATTATGAAGCCAATTGTGAGAGAAAATATCTCCTGCGTTTAGCTTACTCCAAATTGTCAATGTTCAGACCTTTCCTGGGCTAAAGTTCATAAACAAGAAACTACATCATCAAACAACCAAAGGCCAAGGGGTTACATTTTTTTTTTTAATTCAAAGCATCCATCATGGCGATGGGGGGTTTTAGGCATGAATCCCTACCTGTATATAATCGAAAAGCAGTAAAACATGGAGGAGGATGTATCCTTTAGCCCCCAGTACATAATGAAGAATGATATGCATCATCCTTGAGGTCTGCTGCTCAAATCTAATCTGCCTATTTGGGAGATCCTCTCCATTACATTTTGACTACAAAATATTCCACAAAAAGATGATAATCCTACTGATGCTAGGAATATACAAATCAGATGTCACAGACTTTGGACAGAGCCCACTGTTGCATAAGAAGCCCGAGAGGAAAGTTCTTTTCTGTATAAGCTAATTGAATATACACTAAAGCAAAGAGCAAAATACTGACATCTCGATAGGTTGTCATGCTGGTTGCACGTTCTCCATGGTATCGAGAATCAATTGCAACGGCCATATATCCCCTTGAAGCATATCCCTAAAAGAAAGTATTATCTTTGATACTCCATCGTAGTGAGAACTCAAGAATTTTCAAGAAAACAACAAATGTCACCTCAAGCAATGGCCTCAACCACTCTTTGCATTTGTTTGTACCATGCAGAAAAACAATAGTAGGTCTCCTCTTCTTTTCGCTTTCTTTCATGCTCAATACCAATACAGGCAAGAGCCCTTCCTGGAAACAGCAAGAGAGTTCAAGCACGAAACTAATTGCTATAGACATGGAGAATATTTCCATTCCTGTGAAGTGATTCCTCATAACTGAAAGAACTACACCTGGTCAAACCAATTTCATTAGACTTCCTATACTTGACTAGAAATTTTATCGTCATATTTTAATTTTTTTTTTTATCATTGAAACATTGATTTAAGACCATTTAATCCATGTCAGACTCGAGTTTCTTTTCTACTTTCTCAAACACTAAAATGTATTACACGGTGATACTACTAATAGTTTACCTAAAAGACGAGCACTAATTCTTCATTTTCTTTAATCCCTACAGAACATATGGTAAAACTCCTATAGAGACGACAGAAAAAATGTACTGTTTATTTTTAAATGTGTCTAAAAAGAGATCTACCAAAAGCATTTTTTGTTGTTTATTTAGGGTTTTGCTGTTGTGGGTGAAGGGGAACTAACTACTAGACAAGGGAAAAAATAGAAAGAAGAAACAAAAAATGTAGCAGTCAAACACAGCTACCTAATTTAACATTTCATAGTGATTATTACAAAAATAACCGCATCTCAAAAGTCAGAGGAAACTGGCAATTATGATCTTAAATGCCTATTCGGCTACTCAGGAAGTACATTGTCTAATAAATGGAATCTGGTTATATACTAATTAGTAGATTAATCAACGAAATTAAAATTTTGAAATCCTATCACCTCGGTGGTCAAGTAAAAAATTTCCTCTTGAAGCAGTTCCTTAAAATTGGGCACATCGCCGTTGGGCATGATGCCATTGCCTGTATTATTAGATAGTTTGTCAAAATGAAGTCTCCAAGTAGATAATTAGCAATACAAAGAAACTGAAGCAGTTTTGTACCTCACTGAAGTTTGGCTTTGGAGTTTCCTGAAAGAAAGGATCCTTCACAGGTTCTCCAGGTACCACAGATAGTGGAACTGGAAGGAATTAGACCAAGCAAATACAAGCTTGTTAATTAACATCCAAAACATAAGTTGGCTACAACGAGGACTTAGACCAGAGTTTCTAGATAAAAAGAAATGAAAAGACAATAATTTATTGAATCTACTGAGAGATAGAATTGATGATCTCAAAATGCACTCTTGCTACCAGAGGTCAACTACAGGACCATGATTGTAAAAGAGTCTCTATTACCACGGAATTCAGTTTCTGCAAACAAACTGATACAAAAGTTGGGGAAATTGGTTTTAAACTCTAAACACGCAGCTAAGAAGTGAACCACTGTTTGCTTTACATAGTTAAGCTTTTTCTTTTCTTTTTTAGTAAGTTATAAACCTCACAAGAAGAAACAAATATCTGACAGCATATGCCAACAAGATTCACAAAAAAAAAAAAAAAAAAAAAAAATGCAAATATATCTCCTTTTCTTAAGATAAATGTAACTATATGTCTCTTTTCTTCAGGGGCGTACGCAGAATTTTTCGTAAGCGGTGTTGACATTTAAATAGATCAAATTTAAGAATATCATATTAAAAAGAAAACACAAAAATAATTTGCAGAAATTGCAATCTTGCAGAGGAAGCTGAGTAATTTTTTTTCTTTTCAAAATTAGCATTTTGAGTTGGCTGAAATAATTCATTCTCAGAAACTAGGAGTTCTGTTTTCAACTAAAGTGACAAATATATATTTAGTTCATTGGTTTAGCTGTTGTTCTTACAGTTTTAAGAGGTTAAATGTTCAATACAAACCAACTTCTAATACTAGCCAACTTCTTTTCTTTTCAAAAAGTAGCAAAAGGTGGCACAAAACTTAAAGAAACCTATGCAGGATGAGATTCAAACCCTCGACTTTGAGTGAACAACCAAGACGTCTAACCATTGAACCAAGAAGCCTCGGCGATTTAATAGAGTCATTTTATCTTTTATATATGTTTGCATTTTGTCATGCATATATATACAAAATGAAATTTTCCGACGAAGCGGTGTCGGATGACACTGCTTCACGTTAGGTAGATCCGCCCCTGCTTTTCTTGTCTGTTGAGTTTGGATAATAATAATAGCCAATATTAGGAAACAAGGCACCCAACAGTTTCTGTTCCTTTTTCATTATTCCAGCTCCATAATTTTCTTGTTTTGTGCTTCCGATATTTGAAATCCACTAACCACACCATCCCAATTCGCGTTGGGTAGGCCAACTGAGGCGCTTCCTATCAAGAAGTTACCCGTTAGGGCTCAAACCCGAGACCTTTGGTTGGTTAAGGATGAAGGGATCCCAACCATCTCACCAAACCTTGGTGGTATTCCAGCTCTGTTCATCCTGCCAACTAAACTACTAATCTCTTCCTCCCATCTCTTCTCATTCTTGACAGTCAATTCTACTTACTTTATCCTCTCATCCCCCAAAAAAGATTAGAATAATCTTTCCACCACTCTCACAATTTTATTTACCCAATGAATCCAAGCTTTATTTATCTTATAGAATTGTGACGGTTTAATTAGATTCAGATCAGCCTTTTACTAAAATATAATAACCCCCCCCCCCCCCCCCCCCCCC